TTCCTTCCTTCCTTCCTTCCTTCCTTCCTTCCTTCCTTCCTTCCTTCCTTCCTTTCTCTCTTTCTCTTTCTCTTTCTCTCTCTCTCTCCCTCCCTCCCTCCCTCCCTCCCTCCCTCCTTCCTTCCTTCCTTCCTTCCTTCCTTCCTTCCTTCCTTCCTTCCTTTCTCTTTCTGTTAATTTTAAGATTTGTCTTCCAAAAGTAAATCCATGTCATTATCTGTTACAAGTAGTCGACTTAAGTAATTTATTTAGTGACCACTTAACATTACAACTCAAAAAAGTGATTTATGACCATTTTTCACATTTATGACCATTGTGGCATCCCCATGGTCACATGATCCAAATTCAAATGCTTGGCAACAGATTCATATTTATGACGGTTGCAGTGTCCCAGGGCAACGTGATCACTTTTTGTAACCGTCTAATGAGCGAAGTCTAATGGGAGGCAGATTCATTTAACAACCATGTTACCAATGTAACAACTGCAGTGATTCACTTGATAACTATGGCAAGCTGTGTTATAAAATGGAGCAAAACTCACTTAACAAATGTCTCAGCAACAGATTCTGGGCTCAATTGTGCTCGTACGTCGAGAACTACCTATATTTGAGTCCCTATGCAGTACTAGTATGCTTGAGAAAACTGGGTGTGCATAGGAGGTATCTTACAAGTTGGGATGTGCCTTTGAAAATTTCTCCAGATCAGTTCAGGCATTTTTTCTGTTTATTTATTTCTTGCTTCCTAGGGATATTTTCTGTATATATAAATGCAAAATACCACTCATGCATCATCACAAAATCTCCAGAACCGTAAAGCCTACAAACTTGAAATTTGGCACGTATGTTCCTTTTGGCTTCTAGGTGCTCACTAAGAAAGGATTTTTTGAAATGATCATTAGAGCATTAGTATTTCGTATATTATTATTAACATGCTCTGATGCTAAGGAGTTCTACTCCCCCTCCCCACCTGAAAAGAAATCTGTTCCAAATGCAGAACACAAGCATAGGAGAGGAGTTTCAATTTCAGTTTTAGTTTCACAGCAGCAACCAGCTTTAGTACAGAAAAGTTGAGCTAAGCCACGCCCAGGCTCCTTGCTGTCTCCTTCTTGCTCACACAGCAAATACTGTTTCAGTTTCCATGGTTCAGTTTCCAAACAGCCCTCAAATCTCTCGCACACTGACAGGATGCTAGCCAAATGAATACTAGTGGATGCTGGTAGGCAGAGGCACAATTTTTCCCTTTTATTTTCCTCCAAAAGCTAAGCCCGATCACATAGTTTCATAACGAAGCACAGGTATAGAGCTAATATTTTATATACATATATCTTTTTTGATATATATGCAGGGATGGGATCCAACTGGCATAACAACCAGTCCGGTGAATGTGTGCATGCGCGTCAAATGTGCACTGCACACATGTGCAGGCTTCCAGCTCTGGCAAGCATTTACTTTCTCCAGCTGATGAGCCTGGCATTCAGCTGTGCCGCGCAAAGCAGCTGAGGAGGAAAATGCAGCCACTGAAGGACAGCCTAGAGCCTGGGTGGGCAGCAGACCAAAACCTCATCCCAGCGAACCGGTTCAGTGTCAGCTGCTCTTCGGAGCTACCAGTTCTGTAGAACCGGACCGAACCGGTAGGATCCCACCCCTGTATATATGATATATATCAGGGGTCCCCAACCACCGGTCCGCGGACCGGTACCGGTCCGTGGAACAAGTCCTACCGGGCCGCTGGCTTGCTGGGCGCCGCCATCTTGTTTTTGATGAAAAAGTGCTTCCGGTGAGCTTTTCCAGGTAGAAAGCTCACCAGAAGCACTTTTTCATCAAAACAAGATGGCGGCGCCCAGCTGATGTCGGTACCGGGCCGCGCCATAAAAAAGGTTGGGGATACCGGGCTGCGGCGTAAAAAAGGTTGGGGATCACTGATATATATGATATGACACACACCATTTTTGAGAAATTTTTGACCCTAGTTTGTTTCATCTAAAGCAGGGCTGTCAAACTCGCAGCACACGGGCCGGATGCATCATGCACTGGCCATGGCCACACCCAGTTTAGCAAAGGAGGAAAAAGTCACGATACATCTTGTGATAATGACACCCTTGATCCAAAGCCTGAATGAACAGAGTCCTTTTGAATCCCTTGAACTGGGCTGCAGAACCCTGAAAAAGAAGACCTGCTTTAATGAACAGCAGGGAGGCACTTGTTCAGGAGCTAAAGCACTTTTGAATAGTTTTGGACCACATGCACGGCCCTTAACTGTTTGTTTAAGCCTGCAGATAGATAGGATTACAGCACAGCTTTTTATTTACTTTTTAACTGGGCTAAAATAACTTCCCAAGATATTGAGCAGTTGCCAGGTTGGTAGAGTACTGTCCAGAAGATGATCTTAGTAAGTTAAGATAGTTAGGTTAGTTTCCTGCCTCTTGGATACAGAATCCGCTAATTATGTTTAGTTGTTGAATAATGGGTATTTGGTGTTTTGTTTTGTTTTACTTGTGAAGTATGCTGATTTTGGGATACAAGTGCATATGATTATCATGATATTTGGCCATCATTTTAGAAAGCATTGTTAATGGTAATGCAGTACCTGGGATATTTGGACCAGATAATTTAGACCCTATGCAGTTCCACATTTTCCATTCTCTTTTTATGTTTTATATTAAGTGGGAAATTTTAAAACAACACTTTTGCCGAAAATGCATAAGCTGCAGTTCTAAATTTATGTAAAAATTCACTGCTGTGTTTCTATAAACCTGCCATGCATTCTTTATTTTAAATAGACAGCTTTTCTAAATCACTGGGCTCTGCTTAGACAAGTGGTGTCTCTCTGGTTAAATTTATGAGTGGATTTGAATAATAAATTCACATTTCAATGAACATATTTTCATTAAAACTATAAGGTTTATTTTACTGTACTTTTAAATAATGGGTTATTATAGAAGCTCTGGTTTAAATTCATGCAGTAGTTGAAACTTGGTGCAGTTTCTAGAAAGAAAATGGAAAGATAAAGAGATTTCAGAGTGTTGCAAAAATATTAACGTCCTTGGTGCTATCCTGAAATGATTCCTTTTCTCCCAGAAGACGAAATTGTGGTTGGGCAATATGCTTAAGAGTCAGGTGAGGAATATTGTCACCAGGAATCTTTACTCAAATTAAATATTCTTGCAAACTCTTATTTTGGAATTCTGGCTGTTTTAAAAGTCTGCTATTGCTGGATTTGCGCATAGAAAACAGTTTCAGGAAATGGTTTGATTTTGCAACGGTTGGGTTTTTAGGAAGCACCAACTTGTTCACGTGTTTTTATGATCCCTTAATATGCCCTCTTAAGGCAGATAAAATGGAATAAAACTACAGAGAAGATGCTAATGGAGGTCTCTTTAGAATTCTTTATGCAACTGTCTGGTCAGGACATGTTGCTTATAATTGATGTGTCCATTACTTGAATTCTCTTGTAATTATAGTCAATAAGTCTTGTAAATGTGTTAAAGCTCACTAAAAGCATACAAATTCAAGAACAGAGTAAGGCTAATAATTTAAAATAATCAATGTAGGCATTTCAGCACT